CGGAGGCCGCGGGAGCTGCAGGGGCCCGGGCAGCGCAGGTGGGTGCCGCCTCCGCCCCTCTCCCCTCTCCCACTGCGCCCTGGCCGCCCTGCCGCGTCCCGAGGCCCGCGCTCGGCGGAGCCGGAGGGGTGAGCGGAAGTGTGCGTGAGAATTTGGTGTGGCCACGGCCACGTCCCCGGAGCGAGGCCAAGGGTGACAGGCGTCGAGAAAGCCTTCGGGCGGCGCAGCACAGCCGCGGGGTGAGCAGAGCAGGGGCCTCGCGTGGGGACCGGCTCTCCGCCCCGCTGCTGGGCCGGACGGCTCCGCGGCTCCGGCTCTGCCCATGCTTTGCTCAGGATGGGTCTCACCCACGTTCTCCCAGCAAGGAAAAGAAGGAGGTCGATTCCAAACCCAAGAACCTGGATGAACAGGAAATTCCATTCCGGCTCCGGGAGATCATGAGAAGCCGTCAGGATATGAAAAACCCGATCAGTAACAAGAGGAGGAGGAAGGAGGGTAAGGGCGGCCCGTAAAGATGCTTTGTGCCCAAGTGCGCCCAGTTGCCCGAGCACTCTCTGGGGTGTCCACAGAGGAGCCGGTTGAGGACCAGCGCCCTGAATGAGTGCAGGGGTGGGAAGGAGGGCTGGCAGGGCCCAGCAGCCCCGAGGATTGAAAGGCTCTCTGGGTGGGTGGAGCCGAGCAGCCGGTGGGCTTCAGGGGCTGTCCTAGGCCTTGCAGAAAGTCCCCCGGTCTGGGTAACTCACAGCAGAGGTCTGTCCAGCAGAAGGCCTGGGGGTCCAGGTCCGAGCCACATCTGGGGTGGGCCTCCTGGCTGGAGGGTAGGAGTGCAGGCAGCCGTGTCCTGCATCTCAGAAGCCCGCTGGGGTGGGTTATGGAGGCCCCACTCTGACCTCATTTTCTAAAGGTCCTTTCAACACCATAATAAGATTAAGTTTTGGGGCTGGCAGGTGGCATGGTGGTTAAGGGCGCTGGACTCCCACAGACCTGGTGGCCTGCTTTCTCACTTTCCCTCTCTCTCGATCAGTGTCTCTCTCTCCTCAAAATAAAAAAACAATGATAAATGAATAACTCA